GAACACAAGAACTTTCAAGAGACAGAGATGAGAGATCTAGAGAGAGAAAGAGAAAACCCAATATTTCATGGTAAAACCCCGTGAGTAAACTTCCACGGCGGTGAGGTATATTTATATTAATAAATCAGAGTATTTTTGGTTACAGAGAATAAATAGGAAAACCTAAAATAGAGAATAAATAGGAAAGCCTAAAATAGAGAATAAATAGGAAAACCTAAAATTAATCAGGCTCCACTACCTAACAATTCTCCCACTTGGAGACTGACTCAGTCATCCAAAATATACATTCTCAAAAAAAAATCTCTTCATCATCAACATCTTTACCGCACCACAAAATCTGTAGCAACAACTACAGAAGACCAACCGAGGTTTTACATAATCTCAGTTTCCCAACATCAACACATTTCGTCAACATGTCTACCGGGTTCTTTGCACCCTCTATCTTCTCCATGAACATATCACCATCCTCCACTGCCCTGCGAGTGAAATGGTATCGCCTTCTGATGTGCTTTGTCTTCGAATGATAGACTGGATTTTTCACCAACTGTATGGCACTCTGGCTATCTGAGTAAAGAGTCTTCTTGCTCTGCTTCTTGACCAATTCATCAAGATAATCTGCCAGCCATATCATCTCTTTCCCAGCTTCAGCTATTGCCACATACTCAGCTTCAGTAGATGAAAGAGAAACACACTTCTGAAGACTGGACATCCAACTCACTACTGTTCCACCTATGGTGTAAATGTACCCGAATGTACTCTTTCTCGATTCAACATCCCCACCAAGATCAGCATCCACAAAACTCTGTAGAGTCATCTTTCTTTTGCCAAAACAAAGTGAAGTACTTGATGTACCTCTTAGATATCTCAGAAGCCACTTCACAGCTTCCTAATGCTCTTTCCCAGGGTTCTCCATGTACCTGCTAACAACTCCCACTGCATGTGCTATATCAGGTCTAGTTTAGACCATAGCATACATCAAACTACCAACTGCTGAAGCATATGGAACAAGTGCCATGTGATCACGCTCCTTGGCAGTCTTGGGTGACTGCTCCTTTGACAATTTAAAGTGATTTGCCAATGGAGTAATCCTGGGTTTAGCATCATTAACCCTGAATCTGCTCAGCACCTTCTCAATGTACAACTCCTGAGATAGATTTAAAGTGCCTGCAGATCTATCCCGAGAAATCTTCATCCCCAAAATCTGCTTTGTTGGACCCAAATCTTTCATCTCAAACGCTGCAGACAACCTTGTCTTCAGATTATTAATCTCCCTAATACTAGATCCTGCAATCAACATATCATCCACATACAACAGTAGAAAGACATATGATCAGTGTATTTCTTGAAGTAACAACAAGGATCCTTTTCAGCTTTGCAGAATCCACTCTTGGTCATGAAGGAGTAAAACTACTTGTACCACTGCCTTGGTGCTTGCTTTAGTTCATAGAAGCTCCTGCTGAGCTTGCACACCATTTGTTCCTTGCCTGGAACCACAAATCCTTCCGGTTACTGCATATAGATCTCTTTGTCCAGATCTCCATGTAAAAACGTTGTTTTTACATCCATTTGCTCTAGATGCAAATTCTCCGATGCAACAACACTCAACAGAATTCGAATAGAGGTTAATTTCACAGCAGGAGAGAATATTTCAGCATAATTAATACCTTTTCTTTGTGAATATTCTTTTACCGCTAAACGAGCCTTGAACCTTCTTTTGCCAGCTGGTTCAGTCTTGATTTTGAACACCCACTTGTTCAGCAAAGCTCTCTTCCCTGCAGGTAACTCAGTCAACACCCATGTGTCGTTCTTCTCAAGTGACCTCATATCATCATCCATGGCTTGCTCCCACTTGATCAAATCCTCCACCTGTAGGGCCTCATCAAAAGACTTTGGTTCCCCCTCCATCAGTCAGCAATAGATAGTGTAATGAAGGTGAATACCTATCTGGTGCCCTGATAGATCTGGATGATCTCCTTAACACCTGCTCAGGTGTAACTTGCTCCACTTCAGATTCTTCAGTACGAGTTGGTTGAGTATCTGCTTCGACATCTCTGGGGTTACTCTTCTCCAACTTAAACTCAACTCCCACTTGCTTTGTAATCTCTAGAACCTTCTTCTCTCTGTCCTTGTATAGGATAGACTCATCAAATATCACGTCACAATGTCTCAGGATCTTTCTATTCTTGTCATCCCAAAACCTGTAACGAAACAAATCATAACCATATCCTATGAAGTAACACTTCACAGCCTTGGCATCAAGCTTGTCTCTCTTTTCTGGATCAACATGAACATAAGCAGTGCAACCAAAAGTCCTCAAGTGTGAGTACTTGAGTTCTTTTCCTGTCCACACCTCCTCTGGAATCTTGAACCCTAAAGGAACTGATGGTCCCCTGTTGATCAAGTATGCAGTTGTGCTCACAGCATCCGCCCAAAGTGTTTTGGGCAGCCCACAGTGTATCCTCATACTCCTTGCACGCTCATTCAATGTTCTGTTCATCCTCTCAGCAATTCCATTATGTCTTGCCTTACCAAGAATTGTTCTCATCAATCTGATTCCCTCAGCTGCACAGAATGCCTTGAACTCTGATTTGTCATACTCTCCTCCATTGTCAGACCTTAGGCATTTAACTTTTAAATCGGTATGATTCTCAACTTCAGCTTTCCACTTCTTGAAAGTTGCAAACACATCTAACTTATGCTTCAAGAAGTAAACCCATACCTTCTTGCTGAAATCATCAATGAAGGTAACATAGAATCTAGATCCTCCAAGTGATGATACTGGAGATGGTCCCCAAACATCTGTATGGACCATTTCCAACTGCACTTTCTTTGTCTCTCTAGGAGTCTTTATGAAGCTTACTCTTTTCTGTTTGCCCATAACACAGCTCTCGCAAAGACCCATATCAACAGACTTCAGACCCTCTAATGCTCCTTTTTCAACCAGCATCTTCATTCCTTTAATACTCATGTGCCCAAGTGTGTTATGCCACAGACATGAATCGGAAGCACCTTCAGCAACAACGACCATGTTTATACACCCTGCAGTGGTGTACAAGGTTCCACATTTGGTGCCACGAGCTACTACCATAGCATCTTTCACGCTCTTCCACCAACCTTTCCCAAAATCTTTTGCATATCCCGTGCTATCCAACTGACGAACAGAGATCAGATTTTTCTTGATCCCAAGAATATATCTGACATCCTCCAATGTCCACTGGTTTCCCGAAGTGGTCTTTATGCAAACATCCCCCTTTCCTTCAATCTCTAAGGCTTTATTTTCAGCAAGATATACTTTTCCAAAATTTCCAGATTTGAAATTTTGGAACAACTCCTTGCTTGGAGACGAATGGAAAGATGCACCAGAATCCAAAATCCATGATTCAACGGGGCTATTCACACTAAGTATTAGAGCATCCCCAATGTCCTCTGCTGAATTTACAAAATCATTGTCATCTCCAAATTTCTGATTCTGTTTCTTCTTTGGCTTTGTACAGTTCGTCCGAAAGTGCATTTTTTCTCCATAGTTCCAACAAGTCACGTTTGATCTGTTCAGTGATTTTCCTCGATTCTTTGATTTTGATCGACCATGTTGATTTTGGCCTTTCGTTTTACTTCTCCCGCTTCGATCAACGCTGAGAGCACTGCCCGATGAATCTCCCACTTCTCGTTTGCGAATACTTTCGCTAAGAACAACATCACATATTTCATCAAACTTCAGTTTCTCAGATCCACGGGAACTGCTAATCGCAGCAACAACAGTATCCCAAGACTCGAGCAGAGATGACATCAAAATCAACACCTTAATTTCATCTTCGAAATTAATATCCACAGAATTGAGTTGACTCACAATCATATTGAACTCGTTTATATGATCAGAAACGAATCCAGTTTCAGACATCTGTAAATTGAACAATCTACACATCAAATATACCTTGTTCATAACCGATTGTTTTTCATACATGTTTGACAGTGTCTTCAACAGACCGAACGTAGTCTTCTCCTTCACGATGTTGAACGCCACGTTTCTTGACAAAGTCAACCGGATCAACCCTAGAGCCTGGCGATCCTTGAGTTTCCACTTCTCCTCTGTCATGGATTCCGGCTTCACCCCGGTTAATGGTTCGCGAAGATCTTTCTGGTACAAATAATCTTCAATCCGTATCTTCTAGAAACTGAAATTGGATCCATCAAACTTCTCAATTCCAAGCTTCAAACTATCCATCTTCAGTGATCGTGTTGAATCTCCTTAGCTCTGATACCAGTTGTTAGGATCGAATTCACGCACACACACTAGATGAATGAAGAACACAAGAACTTTCAAGAGAAAGAGATGAGAGATCTAGAGAGAGAAAGAGAAAACCCAATATTTAATGGTAAAACCCCGTGAGTAAACTTCCACGGCGGTGAGGTATATTTATATTAATAAATCAGAGTATTTTTGGTTACAGAGAATAAATAGGAAAACCTAAAATAGAGAATAAATAGGAAAGCCTAAAATAGAGAATAAATAGGAAAACCAAAAATTAATCAGGCTCCACTACCTCACCTTCCTCCAGGAAATGGTAAAGTTATGTGGCTCGTTATACTATCAATATGGACACAGTGTTCGCTATATTCATATTCAAATCCCAACGGTTGAGTGTCCGTCAATAAGGACTCTATCTTCTCTGAATGTTGATCAGTTTGATCCCACGAGTGCTTAAATCTCGATCCAGCTTCCAATTATGCTGCAACTTCCTTCATTGTAGGTCGATCATCCCCTTTAACATTTAAGCACCTTTGAGCACTCACAACAACATTTTTCAATTGCCCTGCATTTCCCTCATCACAGACTATACTGTCGTCTAGAATATCGAACAAATGACCCTTTCCCACTGAAGATACGAAATATTGAGCTAAACTTCTCTCTTCATCTGGCCTTTGAAAACATAGAGCTGTTCTACCGGTTAGTATCTCTCCAAGCACTACTCGAAACTGTATACATCACTTTTTTCTGTGAGTTAACTTGTTTGCAAGAATTCAGGATCTACATATCCTATAGTTTCTTGAACTAATGTAGATAGCTCGGTTTGATCAGAAGGAACCAACCTGGATGCTCCGAAATCAGACACTTTGTCTATGTAGCTTTTGTCTAGAAGAATGTTGACTGACTTAATATGTCTATGAATGATAGGAGGGTAAGCTGCTGAGTGTAAGTAGGAAAGTACTCCAGCAGTTTCTGCAGCAACTTTCAGACGAATAACCAAAGAAAGAGTTGACGCCTTTAATTTAATATGTAAGTGTTAAGAAAGTGCTCCATTTTTGATAAATTCATACACCAATATTGGAACTTTCGTCTCAAGGCAACAACCTAAGAGGTTAACCACATTTCTATGGTTTATTTTGGAAAGGACAAGGACTTCATTTATGAATTGTTCAATTTGATTGCATCAATTAACTTGCATTTTTTATGGCAACGATACAATTATCTTTTAGATATCCTTTGTAAATAGTTCCAAAACCTCCTTGACCGACAACTCTGTCTTTGTCAAATGCCATTAGTTGCCTTTTCTAGCTCTTCCGTTGTGAAAATATTTATTGTATTATTATGACTTGATCCCTCTTTCCCTACTTTAAGTCGTTGCAGTAGAACTAATCCACCATTTTCTTGGAATAACTTCTTCTTCATAATTAATATTTTTTTCCTTTGAAATGCAATATATTACCAGCCAAGTATTATAAAAACCATTAAATCAATCAAGCAATCCCTATTGTAACACCTGTAATAAAAATATATTACTAACATTAACGTATACTATTTATATAGATGTTTCAACTTGAAAGAAATCTTTCTCTGTATGCGTGAAAATAAAATTGTTGCCCATTTTTATCCGTGGTCTTTTTTTTGGGTTCAGTTGTGAAAGAAATAATCAAACAAGTAGTAATATTTGATGGAACTAATTAAGGATGAGAATTGATCTGCAGGATTCCAAAGAATTTAAGAAAGGTACCTATGATAAGATAAACATTCTGAATTTTTCTCTGAGGAGTGCATTCAGTATAACCATCACCGTTGAAATTTGAGTCGCATGTGCATGTATAATTCTCAACTGTATCGTGGCAAGTTATATTTTTGGCACATCGGCTATGATCTAGACATTCATCGATATATGCAGACTCAAAGGGCACAACCATAAGATAACATAAACATTCATTTTCAAAATAATAGATTTGATATAAAACATATTAGGAGACTGACAAGCATGTTGGAATTAATACATCAATGTTTAGTCTTCCAAAATTGTCTCTTAGTTTTTCAAGAAGTCTTTTTAGAATTTCGTAGTACATGTATCGAGTAAATTGTGATACATGTATTTATTTATTCGTGCAAGACATTTTGATTTCTATTTTGAGTATTATAAATAGTGATGTAGTTGATGATTGTAATCATCTCAAGTAAACTTGAGCATTTTATAAAGATATTATTTTTCCTTTCATATTTCCAATAAAATGGTATAAGAGCAGGGCTCATCTCACCCGATATTGGGACCCCCGAAATCAAAAATTGCCCACGAACCAGATGCTAAGCACTGGGTGTGAGGTGGGGTATTAAAGAATGACAAAAGTCCCACATCGGTGGTTAATGAGATGGGTGGACTCCTTATAAGGCTTGGACAATCCTTCTCCCTTTGAGCTAGCTTTTGAGGTGTGAGTTAGGCCTAAGACCTAATTTCAACTTGGTATCAAGATAAAGTTTTCGTTCTTAATCTGGGGTTAGGTGAACAAAAAAATATGCCATCTAAAACAAATGAAGGTGCTGATTCTTCAGTTGTTCTTACTCCATTTTTTGATGGAACTGATTTTGAGTACCAGAAGATAAGAATGAGAACACATTTGAAAGCTGAAAGTTTGTGGACTATTGTTGCAAATGGCTTTGAAGATCCAGAAAACGATAGTGATCTTACAGCAGCAGAGATGAAAAATCTTGAGGCTAAGTATCGTCAAGATGCAAAAGCCTTGAGCAAAATCCAAATGGGAGTCTCAAGGGCATATTTTGCCAAAATTGCTACTTGTGAGACTGCAAAGGAAGCTTGGAATTTTCTGGAAACTGAGGTGTATGGTGATGAAAAGGTACGCACTATAAATATTCAAACTCTTAGAAGAGATTTTCAAAATTTATAGATGATAGAATCTGAAAAAAATTGATGAATATTGCACAAGAGTCATGAATATTGTTAATGAAATGAGAAATCATAGTGATACAATTTTTGACCAACAAGTTGTGGAAAAGATTCTAATTAGTGTCACAGAAAAGTATGAGTAGATCGTTGCTATCACTGAGGAGACGAAAGATCTTTCTAAGCTTTCCATTAAATAGCTAGTTTGATCATTTCGTGCACACGAGAAGCGAAGATTTTTTTGTGAAGATAAACCCAAAGAGACGACTTTCGAGTCTAAAATAAATGAGAATTCTCAAAATTTCTCCAAAAATCATCAGAAGAAAAATCAAAAGTAAAAAAAAAGCAGGATCATGATGGTTCTTCCAAGAAGGTTGAAGAAAAACGTGAGAAAAACTCTATTCTTTTTTGTAAAGTTTGCAAAAAGACTAATCGCAATGCAGAAAAATGTTGGCACAAAGGCAAGCCCCAAAGGGAAGAAAATCTTTTTTTTTGCTTCTAAATCTGATGCTTCAACAAAAAGCAATGAATGGTTTGTTGATAGTGGTTGTAGTAATCACATGACTGGAGATGAAAAGGCTTTTCTCTCAATTAATAATAGCATCACTACAAAAGTGAAGATGGGGAATGGAGCCTTAGTTGATGCGAAAGGTAAAGGTACTATTTTGATCAACATGAAAGGATGCGGAGAGTAAATTCATGATGTTCTTTATGTTCCTGACTTGGAAGAAAATGTGCTTAGTGTTTGTCAACTCATGGAACATGATTATTCTCTTGTGTTTAGAGATAATTATTGCAAGAGTTATGATAAAATTGAGCCAAATCAAGTCATTGTTGAAGTAAAGATGATAAAAAGAAACTTCCCTTTGCAATTTCATTACAATGCATTAAAAATGAAATTGTAGATGATTCATGGCTTTGGCACAAAAGATTTTGTCACTTGAATTTTCATGGTTTAAAGCTTCTCAAGCAAAAGGACATGTGCAAGGCCTTCCTGAGATACATACTTAGGTGGATACATGTGAAAGTTGTATAATGGGAAAGCAACATAGGAAGTCTTTTCCAAAAGGGATGTCTTGGAGAGCAAGTGTATTTTTGGAACTAATTCATACTGACATTTTTGGACCAATGAAGACTACATCTCTTTGAAGTCAAAGGTTTTCTCTAATCTTTATTAATGATTTCTTAAGAATGACTTGGGTTTATTTCTTGAAAGAAAATTCAGAAGCATTTGCTACATTCAAGAAATTGAAAGCCCTTGTTGAGAAGTAAAGAGGTTGAAGCATCAAAACCATTCGCAGTGATCAAGGAGGTGAGTACACAAGTCGAGAATTTGAAGAATATTGCAAAAATGAAGGCATTTAGAAGCAACTTACAACATGGTATACTCCTCAACAAAATGGTGTATCTGAAAGAAGAAATAGAACAATTGTTGAAATGGCCATAACTATGATGAATGAGAAAGGGCTGCCAAAATATTTTTGGGCAGAAGCAGTGCATACAGCAGTTCAGATCCTTAACAGGTATCCAACAAAGGCACTAAAGGACAAGACACCAGTTGAAGCTTGGAGTGGAATTAAACCTTCTGTAAGTCATTTTAAAATTTTTGGGTGTATTTGTTATACTCATGTACCTATTGAGAAAAGAACAAAATTGGATGAAAAAAGTCAAAAAAATGTGTTTTTCTTTGTTATAGTGATTTGACAAAATGATATAGGCTTCTCGATGTCAAAACTAACAAACTTATTGTTAGTAGATATGTCATTTTTGATGAAAAAACAACATGGAATTGGGGGGATAAAAAGATAGAGAATACTGCTATCATATCTTCAAATCAAGAAGAAGATGAGAAATATGAAGATGTATCTCAAGGGGGAGAAATCCCAGATTTATATAATGAAGAACCGCCTCCAAGACGAACAAAAATGTTATGTGACATTTATCAAAGATGTAATTTTTCCGGTGTTGAGCCTGAAAATTATGAAGAAGCAATAAAGCATGATGTTTGGAAGAAAGCCATGAAAGAAGAAATTCAAATGATCAAAAAAAATAATACTTGGGAGCTTGTGGCTATTCCTAGAGAAAGAGAAGTTGTAAGACTAAAATGGATTTACAAAATAAAATTCAATCAGGAAGGAGATATTCAAAAGCACAAAGCAAGGTTGGTTGCTAGAGGCTTCACGCAAAAACCAGGTATTGATTTCTATGAAACTTTCTGTCCAGTTGCTTGTCTTGAGACAATTAGAACTGTAATTGTTGTTGCTGCACAAAGGAAATGGAAGATATTTCAACTTGATGTTAAATCAGCTTCTGAATGAAAAACTTGATGAAGAGATTTATGTTGAGCAACCTCAAGGATTTTTTGTTCAAGGGGGAGAAGAAAAGTTGTACAAGCTAAAAAATCTCTTTACGGGCTGAAGCAAGCTCCAAGAGCCTGGTACAATGAACTTGATACATACTTTCTGAAAAATAATTTTTAGAGAACGTAAAAGTGAAGCCACTTTGTATGTGAATAAAGAACATGGCAGCATTATAATTGTTTGTATCTATGTGGATGATTTGCTTTTTACAGGAAATGATGTAAATATGATGCAAAATTTCTAAAAAGATATGATGCAAGGTTATGAAATGAGTGACTTTGGGTTGCTAAATTATTTCTTGGGCATCGAAGTTTCTCAAGTGAAAGAAGGAATTTTCATTTCTCACAAGAAGTATACTAAAAGTATTCTTCAATATTTCAAAATGATGGATTGCAGGTCTGTAACCATACCATTATCAGCAAATAAGAAGTTTAGAAAGGATGATGGAGAAAAGAAAGTTAATAGCTCACTTTTTAGGAGTTTGATTGGAAGTTTGCTATATCTTACTTCAACAAGGCCATATATTATGTTTGTTGCTAGTTTATTATTCAGATTCATGCAAGAACCAAGCCAAGTGCATTTTGAAGCTGCAAAACGTGTTCTACGCTACTTGCAAGGAACAATGGATTATGGATAATGTACAAATTTGGTGGAAATTTGAACTTAATTGGTTATTCTGATAGTGATTGGGCTGGAAGTATAGATGACATGAGAGTACTTCTAGTTATGCTTTCTTATTTGGATCAAGCATTTGTTCTTGGTTATCAAAAAAGCAAAGTGTTGTTGCTCAATTCACTACCGAAGCAGAATATTTTTCAGCATCCAAGGCTACTTCTCAAGCTATTTGGCTTAGGAGATATTTGAAGACTTTGGTGAAAACAAAAAGGGACTGTTCTGTATTGTGATAACTAATCAGCAATTGCAACTGCCAAGAATCCAGTTAGCCATGAAAGATCAAAGCATATTTCCATCAAGTATCATTTTATCCGAGAAGTACAAGAGACATGCGAAATTCAGTTGC